TCAGGTGAGGTCATTTGGGCCTACTATTTGACTGCATGGTTGTTGAGAACTTGTAGAGCACCTAGGTCTATACACAATTCACAAAATGTAATCACCAGCAGACATCACAAGTCCCTAGCAGCAAAGGTTCAACCCCTAAAATCCACTAGCCAAAATCATGGCTTGCCACACTGTGTACCTAGTCCTGTTCTCCACAAATATGCAAAAGGTATCAAAACAGTAACAACTGACTCCTGACATTCTTCTGATATCCTTTATGCTCAAAAATTGCCTCTGATGTTACATTGGGTCACTATTATCCCTAAAACCCTATAATATAAGAAGGCAATCCATTCTGAGGCTACAAATAGCAGTAAAAAAGGCATCTAGAAAATGGAGATGTAGTCATTTGACATGCATGAAATGTCACTGAATTGAGGGTCATAGAACTTCTAGTAACTCTAGGTTGATAAAAATCAGGTAAAAACTTATAAGAGGGGATGTGAATTATCAGTTACATTCTTGTATAAGACTGAAAGCGCCCCAATATCCCAACCATGCCCAATGCCCAGATTTGAGTCGGACAGGAAAAAAATTAAAGAAATTAAAAGAACAATCAAGTAATCATAAGTATGACTATGCTAACCATACAGGAGAACAGTACTCAAAGTGAGGTAGAATAAAAGAAAAGCATCATCTACAAGTATTGTTGTCACCTTCATAAATCTTCTTGCGCTTGTGAATGAAGATGAAACTGCCTAGGCCATATTCCTAATTTCCATTTCAAATGTAATCTTTGAATCATATGATAACTATACATTTTAAAGCTTTATAGGTTTAATCTTCATCTGTAAAACACGTCTTTTCTAGTGCGTAAAATCATACTCTTGAAATAGGACAAAACTTTGCCAAGGTAAAATGTGAAAAATCTGGTATCATTTGTGCAGCAGAGCCTCTCATTTGGCATATGTTAACATACGTTACATTTGGCAGTCCAAAAAATAGATTTGATGGCCACATTACCACTAATATTGTGTTGAATACAGTTTTCCATTCAACCTTTCTCCAATTACAGTAGATGATCTCATAGAAAATGCAGTACATTGACAAATATCAGTCACCTAGCCTGTGCTGATGAGTGGTACAAGCCAGCCAATAACTTATGATATGAACAAAGGTAAACATAACATTGAAAAGAACAAGCACGAGTACTGCAGGGAAAGAAGTACACAATGTAATATAAAGATGACTGAACTGAAGTGCTTGGAGATGAACTGTCAGTGATCTCTCTCTCATTAGCATTAAAAAATGGATTAAGATTAAACAAATTTTAACTTTGCTCTCCTTAATTTCAAATCAAAATATCTGAGAATGATACACAAAGAAACACTTTTTTTAGTGCCTCTACCCCCCCCCCCCTGAACTAATCAGATACTTTCATATTTGTTGAATTATTTGCACTTGGCAAGCTTTTCCAGTACCAATTACACAACAAATATGAGGCTTTACTATTGTTCAGGGGAAGGTGTGTGGTTCTATGGAGTTTTAGATCATATCAAGTACTGTGCTCCCTAAGCATGTATGATGAAGTAGTATTAACCAAAATTTTTTACTATTAGTATTGTTCATGACATAACAATAACAATAATGATATTAATAATGATAACAGTAACATTAATAACAATATCTTTGGAAAAAAATCAAGGAATAAGATAAACAGGTAAAGCCAGGTAGGCCTGATAATTTGAGTCCTTGGTGACTAGGTACTTATGAAGACATCAATGTGTAAACAATACAGACAAAACACAGCTGCAAAATATACTGGTGCTGATGAATTTAGTTTATGTTGGATCATATAGCTAATTCATGTTCAACTTGTATGCAAGGAATCAATACATTTTAATAAAAAAAAAAAGTCAAAACTGTAAACACGCTCCATTTTTATTTCTTTTTTTATTTTGTGTTTTTGTATCCTCTCCCTCTTTTTTCTTTATCCTTCCTTTCCTCTCTTTCTCTCTCTCCACCCATTACTATTTGACTCCACTTCTTCAATTCCCTTCCATTTCCTTACAATTTATAAAACCTCTTTCATACAAAACAAACAAACAAATAAACAAACACACATACACATTTCCACTCCAACTATCTGCCACCCCAGTATAACTCTACTCCATCCCAATGAATATACATTTACATATCTATCTATGAGAAATGCAAACTTTCACACATTAACATACACATCCTTGCAACAGCCATACCTATGCATGCACGAGTATCCAAAGGCCAACCCACACATAAATATCAAGGTGTTATCTTACTGAACCATCCAAATAATCTCTATCATTCTTTACAAGAGACTTTCATACATACCTGTGTCTGAAGGAAATGTAATATCCTCTCTTCCAAGGTCATCATCACTGTCGTATTCATCATGTCTTCTCCTTAACTCTTCAGACCCAGAGCTCAGACCAGCAGACCCTGACTGACCACTGAGTGGTGTCATGGCTACACTGCCAGGTGGTGTTACATTATTGGGAGGTGTAATGGTACCATAGATAGTTGGTACAATGGAATAAGCAGGTCCAGCAGGTACTAGGTGCTGGGATGGGGTTTCCTGGTAGCTTGGTGGGAGATAACCACCAGGCTTATGAGAACTATACTGATGGGGTCCCGTGGATAAGACAGATGATTGTCCATGGGGCTCAAGGTCCTCCCACCATGGAGGCTGTAACAACCGTAGATGTGGCCGTAACAGCCAATGGTTATTGGTAACAGCTGAGCCCTGACTGCCTGCCTCCCCACTGATTCTCACCAGGTACTGACAAGTTGGTGAACCTTGACGTTCATACACAACACCCTCTGAGAACATTTGTTGTTCCTTATCCAAACGTACCACTACACGTGCCCCTTCCACTAGCTGTTTCCCTGATGGAACTGCATCACTTATAACATCAAATTTTCCAGTGGTAAAAACATTGCTGTACAATATATCACTAGCTGGATCAGCATCAATCCTCACTATAAGATCACATCCATTTTTAACACTCCTAATCACTGCAGGATAGTAGTGTGGGCCACGTTTAGCAAGTACTCTATGCCCTTTCCACTCACTCAAGTCAACAGGTGCTCGAGCTACACCCTGCTGTGAAGACCACATCTCTGGGGTCCTAGGCACTTCACCACCTTCTCTTGTGTCCCCAGAAACATGGTGCGAGGATAGAGTGACCTGAGCTGCAGCATCAACAACACTTTTAAAGCCTGTGTACTGCTTTGGCTGAGAGAACTCCACCTTTGCACCTGGTGACTGTGACATATGGTCGTTGGTGCCTTGAGACCCACTAGTTTGGGCATGTGCAACTGGTGGCACTAAATGTGGCAGGTGGACCTGGTGATGACCCCCAGGTCCCATCTGGTGCTGGATTTGTTGGGGCTGCTGTGAAGAATGCTGATGATGATGGGTCTGCTGAACCTGCTGTTGCTGCTGCTGTTGTTGATGTTGCTGCTGCTGCTGCTGTTGTTGTTGTGGCTGCTGCTGCTGTTGTTGTGGCTGCTGCTGCTGTTGGTGCTGCTGCTGCTGTTGATGTTGCTGATGTTGTTGCTGCTGCTGATGCTGCTGTTGCTGATGTTGCTGCTGCTGCTGCTGTTGTTGTTGCTGATGCTGATGATGAGGTGGTTGTTGAGGTGCTGGTGCTGGTGGTTGTTGGTGCTGATGTTGTTGATGAACTGGATGCTGGTGCTGTTGATGATGTGACTGCTGATGCTGAATTTGCTGATGATGAGGATGTTGCTGATGGTGAAGATGATGCTGTGCCTGTTGTTGCTGCAACTTTTGTCTCTGTTGTTGCTGATGAAGTTGCAACTGTTGTGGAGAGGCATGAGAACCTTGTGGATACTGTGGAATTGTAACTAGTGTAGTCTGGTGTGGATTCAGTATATGCGTTGACACAGTGGCAGTGTTTGTTGGAGGAGGGGCTTGTGTGGCAGGTGCAAGTTTCAACTGACTGGTAACTTGGGGGAGTGGTTGCTGTCGATGTACAGTCATCATTTGTGGAGTTACATTATGAACTGGCATGGTGTGTACAGTAACGGTGTTAGTTGAACTACTAGTCATGTTTAAAGGTTGACTGTCGCTCAAGTTCTCTTCACATTTTTGTTTCTCATGCCCACTGCTATCTCCACCACCACTAACATAACCATTTCCACCCAGATCAGTGCCAGTTGTGTTGACTCGGAGATCTTGTGGCTTGTTCTCCAATATACTTGCAACTGCTGTTGGCACTGTTACTAAAGGGTTTTGCAAAGTTACACTGACTGATGGACTTTCCACAACTGTAGACAAGACACTCCTCATATCAGCTACTGTTGATACAGTTGAAGCTGGATTGCTTCTGGGGCCCACTACTGGCCTTGGGCCCTCATGCATATCCTCCAGGTCTGACGGATGAAACTTCCGCTTCTTGGGCAGTTTGCATACATCGTGGACTGGCTGCTTCTCCTCCTTTGCAGCAGCTGAGGCTGAAGTCGTCCCAGCGGAGGAAGCCGTAACTGTGGCATCCCGGCTAGATTGTGCAACACCGACCCGCTGGCCACGGTTTACTGTGGCGGCAGGCATGGCAGAGTCGGTGATGCTGCCCTGGTTACTCACCACAGCGTCATCCCCAGGAGCCACAGAAGGAGAGCCACCCTCAGTTCGGGTAACCGTGTCATTGCCTCCACTAGACAAGGCATCTTTCCGAACTCTTACTGACCCACTGCCATCATCTCCCTTCTTTCCATGGGATACGTTACTCCCTGATGATGTGTTGGGCAAGGGAGGTGGGTTGGCAGGTTCACCCTCCTTACGAGAGCTGGGTTTTGACCCACGGCCAGAGCTGCTTGAAGCTTTGGATTCTGCAGTCCGCTTGGCTCTATTGCCCCCACGCCTATTCATCCTGATGGTCAGCCATAGTTATGATGCTCAGGACCACTGGCTGCTCACCAGAGCACCAGGCAACCGTCATAGCAGCTATGGTCCCACACAGCTGCAAGAGAGAAAAAGAAAAGGATCAGTATAATGCATAAGACTAGTACATCATAAATGAATATCACCTGTGATAAATTCTCGATAAGAGAAACTTCAAAAAAGTGTACATGTATATGTACATTTCTATCTCTATCTATATATATCTATCTATCTATCTATATATACCTATCTATCTAGTTATCTACTTATATATGATATATGTATATGGGTATCTATCTATCTATCTATCTAGAGATGAATATATATAACTAGCCATTTATCTATCTATCTATCAATCTACATATATATATATATAGAAACATATATGTATATGTTCATGTATATGTATATGTATATGTATATCTAACTATCTATCTATATAGCTATATATATGGATATATGGATATATGTATATATATATTTATATTTCTATATCTATATATATACCAACAAAATAATGCTAAATATAAAACTTGGATTTTAAATAATAAAATGCTCAACAAAGCTGATAGAAAAAGAAAAGAAAAAAAGGCTGATTGAAAATTAATGGAAGTGTCAAAATTCCTCTGGATTTCATCTTCAGACTGAACTCCCTGGTGCTATGAGGACATGTACACTTCCCTTGCCCATTGTTATTTTTTGTTTACTGATATTATTTACACTTATATGGCTCCATAAGTCTTAGCGACCAAGGAATCAACTCCTAGGTCTACTTATTGTCACCTGTTTATTCTATTCCTTTATTTTCAAGAAAAGCATTCTTCTTAAATATCATTAGTATTAACAATAATGATATAAGAACAATAATGTGGATCATAACAATTACAATATCGTATATAAATACCCCCCCCCCCCATATCAAAGAATGGGCTAAACAGGTGAGGTCAAGGAAGCCTACTAATTGATTCCCTGGTAAGTAAAGTACTTGTGGAGTCAACTATGTCTAGAAAAAAAGGTGCGACGACATGACACAACTAACAAAACAAGACTACAATGGGCAGTGCATAATATACATATATAAATATACATATATGTACATATATATATACATATACATACGTACATATATATATATATATATATATATATATATATATATATATATATATATATATATATATATATATATATATATATATATACATACATACATACATACATACATACATACATACATACATACATACATACATACATACATACATACATACATACATACATACATACATACAAACAAAGTGCCAGTGGGACTTTGTTTGTACTTTGGGTTCTTCTAATACAGAGAATTATAAAAACTAGAGGATAAATAATGACCAAAATATGATTATTGGTTAATTCCATACTATTGTACCACACATCTGAATTGTTTGTTCTATCTAAAAAAATTTAATTCATAAACTATAAACTTTTGTAAGGGAAAGGAGTAATCACTCTGTACGAAAGATTTGTCTAGGTGTTACTTATTTTACCTGTCCATTTAAAATAATATCTCAAAATTCACTGAGCAATCATATGGTATTGACTTCCAAATGGCATTCAATATTTCTTATTTCTTTGCTGTCAAAAAGGATCCTCAATATTATACCTACATTCATTATCTATAACTAAATATTCTTAAAAGTAAAAGAATTTGGTTCACTTACATATACTACAAATGTATTTTTTCAACAAAACTTCGAAAAAGTCATACTAACATTACAACTATGGCAGAAAAATTATGAATATTTGTATAATGCACGAGACAAATGCAACGTCCAGACACTAAAGTCATATTGAGTTAATACAAGTTAGATTTATAATAAAACATTTACATATCTTGGCAAAGGTATCGATAAATAAATAGTTTTTTTTATGAACTAAAAGGATTTCTCATGCTTTCTTAAGGACTTCATATGTTTCTTATATTAAGACACTTATCTAAATCTATCCATCTAACATAGCAAAGTAATACTGAAACATGACTTCTCTAAATGATCTACCTTGCATCAGATATATATTTTTAATACTACTATATGCTGTAAACTCACTTTTATTGATTATCCTCCAGAATCCAAGCAGAACAGAAATTATGCATTTTCCATTACAGTTTTACCTCTTACTGAATCCCTTCACAAATACACAGTATCTTTGTCCCATTTGAAGAATAATAATAACACACTAAAGGACATTAAGCCCAGAGTGTCATCTCCAGCCTCTAAGCTTCAAGCCCAAAGAATAAAGTAAACCGAAAACCTGTATTAATTCAGGAATAAATATGCATTACTAGACGTGAATAAGTTTTGTTCCTTTCAATATACTTCTATCTGCAATTTTCTTGTTTATGCTCTTATGGCTTGAACACTGCACTGGAAGATTTTCTTTTTTCTCACCGTAGCTCTAAGAAACTTGCATGGAACTTAGAAACTTAGAAACACTTAGAAACAGCTATCAACATCTTCCTCTACAATGGACGTGGTTAGCGAACGTCTCCCCATAACTCGGTCTGAAAAACACACACTGCTCTTGAAATTCCACCTAACACCAATCACGAAACACATTTTCACCAGGAAATTCACTGTGCAGCCTCCATGCCCGATAAAAAGGCGTAATTCCCCCGGCAGAAGAGGCTAAAGGGAGTAGCAGCCCACCAGCCCAGCCATTCAGTCCCACCCGAGGAAAACAAAGGAAAACATCATGGCTCTGCTCTCCTTTCTCGCCTTGCTTTCCGACTATCACGTGTCTGTGGGGAGTAAGGAGGTTCCTCTCGATGGATGTGGTGCCTAAAACTTACCTGGCATGGATTAGGAAGCACCAGAGGAGGAGCAATATGGATCAATGTAGGTCCGTACTCGTCCCCTCGACACCACACACACGGATACGACCTCAGGTAGGATGCAGCCACGGAGCCAGCCGCCATTTACGCTATTTTCTCCGTCCACACTCCGAACCGGAGGTTTTGTGGACTTATACTCTATCATTTAAATATGAGTAATATACACGAATCCTTTATATTACAAGTAATGCTTAAATATTATTTATTTTCATCATTTGTCGGAATTTCTTCCACATTCGCACCATAGATGACACCTCCAACCTTGGGTGAATGGGCCTGCAAGCTGGGCGCTGATTGGACAATATTTGGTCACGTGACTTCGCCGCGCACGCTCATTGGCTACCTGTTCTTACTCATGCAAGAGCGGTCACGAAAAAGCAGACGACACATTTATATAAAACATTCTCGTGTTGTATCACTCCTGCACGTTCACATTCAGACAAATCGACTGTCTATCAGGAGACGTATTCCTGAACAATCTGAAAATTATCTGGCGCAGACGGGGCGACATATATAATGTCAGACGCGTCCCGCCATTTAATTCCTTCTTGTGTTGAGAAATCGAACTGATTGCACACTAATTACTAAAAAATATATAATTCCTTATTAATTACACGTTAAAGTTTCTCAAATTGGTTGCGATATTGCGAATATGAAAGTCCCAAACCTATAGAAGCATTTCTTCAGTGTCGCTCACCTGCCAGACTATTGAAGCCCTTATGTTTAGAGGACAGAAGTACGGGTCTTCCGTGACCCAGTATTCAGTCTAATCCTACATAAATGAAAATAAAGCTACAATCAGGACCAACGGCATTTGAGATTATGCGCAAATGTCCTATGGTTAAAAAGCCAGAGTATTCAATATCACTGATGTGTGCTATACTGTAGAAAATGGGGTTAAAATGTTTAAGTAAGCGACCTTTGGCAACCGTATGTGCTCCATACCAAACATCTTCAATGTGTATATTTTATTCATTAGGTTTATTCCCCCTCAATTTACAGTATTCTATCATTAATAACAATTTGTCAAAAATGTTATGAAAAGATATAAAAGGCAGACTATGGATGTAAAAAAAAGAACGGAAGGCGATATGCATTGTGACTGTTCTTACAGGTGAACCACTGAAGATTATTATCAAATTTTTATTTCGAGATACATATGAATAAAACAACATTTACATTCATTCTAAGACAACTGGAAGACAGTCTACAAACAAGAGAGTAAGAGTTTATCATAACTAAAATTTATTAATCCGCTCTCAATACCGCATTAACTAACTTCAATGGTAATGAGCTAATGTGAAAGGTATACTGTAGACTATTAATCTCAAAACTTGGGAAACCCTCCTTCCTGAACATAGTGACATAGTCATATGAATTTACTTGCGTTAGCCTCATTTGAATCAGTACAGGCCATAACAACACTACATTTCAATACATCCTATAAAATACCTTCTTTAAAAGTAATGCAAATAAAAAAATATATATATATATATATAAACCAAATTTCGTTTACTTCTTCGTACACCAACTACTAACGCCAATGACCGGTCTCCAGAGAACTGTGTCTCTCGTTTAACCATCTTTCTCCGCCGATATGGAGCGGGAAAGACTAGGTCACCGGGATTTGAGTACTTCCTCACAGTCCGCTCACTCCCTGGGACGGCGCCGATGGCCTCCGCTTCTCTCTGGTCACGTTTTTCTGCCTCTCGGCTTTCGTCACTCTCGTCCTCTCTGTATTGTATGTATGTGCACAAACATACCGCTCAGACACAATGTGTATTATGTATGTATATGTGTATGGACACATACACACACATAGACACATATACACACGCACATATATGTATGTATTTGTACACACATACATACATACATACACACACACACACACACACACACACACACACACACACACGCGCGCGCGCGCACATATGTATGTATGTATTTGTAGGCACACACATGTATGTATGTATTTGTAGACACACACACATGTATGTATGTATTTGTAGACACACACACATGTATGTATGTATTTGTAGACACACACACACACACACACACACACACACACACACACACACACACACACACACACACACACGCACACGCACGCACACACACACGCACACACACACACACGCACACACACACACACGCACACACACACACACACACGCACGCACACACGCACATATGTGCATGTA